AAAAGTAATTGAAACTAACTAATTATTGACAACTAATTTAAGAATTATCAAAGGCTTATTACTTTTGGAAAATATGAATTTTTGAAGGTTAATTGAACCTTAGAAAAATACGAATTTTTGAAGGTTAACAAATCTTTTGAATAAGCTTTTTCGACAGGACCTATTTCGACACATTTTGAAGGTTGAGTGAACCTTCGAAAAAGGATTTATCAAAGGTTTATTTGATACTTTTTCAAAGGTTTTGACCTTTGAAAATACTTAATTTTCTTGTAGTGGACGAGATTTTTGTGCAAGTCTTTGGACCATAGAAACATGGGCGTATTCGAGGTTATGGAACCGGTGTTACTCCTTCTGAGTTGTTTGGATCATCTTCCAAAGTTCGTGATCTTGAGCGACGCCTTAAGTAGTCAGAACAACGTCTTCAAGAATCTGAACGACAAAGAAAAGTTGAGGTACAAGGACTCAAAGATCAAATTATTGAATTAGAAAATTGTTTTGAGCATCGATTTCAAGTAATGATAGTTGAGATGATAAAAAAAAAAATCCTAAAGTAGGGGTTAGAAAATTTTATTGTTTTAGGTATTTGAAGTATTTGTATTATTTGAATTAGTTTTAGAAATACCGTGACTACTTGCTGATTGTTTTTGTAGTAACTATAGGTTATAATAAATAATAGTTTGCCTGTGTTGAATATAGTTTTGAAATTATAAATTTTAACTAGGAAAAGTAATTTAATTTTTCCAAATAAATAATATTAAATTAATATTAATTTCAAATGTTATTATTCTAAATAATATTAAATTAATATTAATTTCAAATGTTATTATTCTATTTGATTTTTTCGAACGATTTACAAATGTCAATAAAGAACTTTTTTTTTAAGGTTTTAAAATGGTTGAAGATAAGATTATGATCCTTCGAAAATAATGAAAACCTTCGAAAAAAAGTAATTGAAACTAACTAACTATTGACAACTAATTTAACAATTATCGAAGGCTTACAACTTTTGAAAAATATGAATTTTTGAAGACTAATTGAACATTTGAAAAATATGAATTTTTGAAGGTTAATAAGACTTTCGGAAAAGCTTTTTCGACGGGACCTATTTCGACACTTTTTGAAGGTTGAGTAAACCTTCGAAAAAAAGTTTATCAAAGATTAATTTTATACTTTTTCAAAGGTTCTGACCTTTGAAAATACTCAATTTTCTTGYATTGTATATCTCATATACTTGGTATATTTTATATATACCTAATCATCTCCCTTAGTATTTTAAAACTAGTGTTTATTACTTAGGTAAAATCCGGCTAAATGAAATTATCTAAGTTTATTAGTTTGCCCAATATAACTTTTATATTGGATTAGTTTAACACTAAAATATTGACTAATTCAACCCCCAGGTCGGTTCTCAGGTAGAGATATTYCCTTACGGTTAGCTTAAGTACCTCAACCTAGACAGAACCTTCATTAGACAGGGTTCCCTAATAAGCAATATTTTATATTAACATTTTATTTCGTCRTTCTAAACCTATTTAAAACCGAAAATAAAAAGTATAAAACCTAAGGTCAAATCAATTTCAAACCCCTTTAAAATTAATTATTAAAGACCTAGGGTTTGCATGCAACTCTTGATTATAGAATTTAATTTCTATTCACCAAACTTATAACTTTTATAAATTTAAAGAAATTAAAACTACAAACATGCATCAATGACATACATAAATATAAAATTTATATTTACTAAAGTAATGTCATGGTCAATGCAACTTTATTTTCATCTAATTAATACAACACTTATATTAATTAATTATGAAAATGAATCATGCTATTATAGATTATAACTATTATATACATATAATKCATAAACATGCTTAATCTACGGTGAGATTTTAAACTATATGACATACTCTTATGCAACATATATTTAGTTAAACATACATTCACAGTGCATAATAATTAAATAGCAAAATAGACCAGTCTTTGGCATCCTATAAAAAATGAAGCAAAAAAAAAGGGAAAATATATATATATATATATATATATTTATATATATTTTCTTCTTCCCGACGCCTAGGCGCCCAAGCACAGTGCCTAGGCACTGCCCCACTATAGTGCCTCGGGTTGAGGCAGAAATTGGGCGGTGCCTAGGCGCCGAGACTTCTTTTCTTCTCGGGTCTTCTGCACCCCCGGCAGCGTCTAGGCGCTAAGGATAGCGCCTAGGTGCCGCCCTCAGCGCCAAGGCGYTGTCCGTCTGGTTTCTCCGGGTTTTCTTCACTTCTTTGGTATTCTTTCACATCAACTCCTTGCCACAAACGACGCAGACTTACATACTCGATTTACAGGATTAAACGCTAAAAACAACGAGCCTTTACATTGATTGAATCAACGGAAAAACTGTAAATCTAATGCCAAAAACCGAAAACATCTATTTGCAAACCACTTACATCAAATGTAGAGAAAAACACTCACCATACATTTCTTTGTAATGTAGAATGTTTGGGATTTTGGATTTAAATTAAATGAAAGAGCGCAAGTGTACACCCGTCATAAGTAGTAAAACGAAATGAGTATTCCGAGTATCGATCCTCAGGGACAAATGAAGTCTTTTTATAAGAAATGTTAATGATCGATGACTTTGTAATTGATTTTGGGGTAACAAATAATAAGAATATTGTTGGTTTTGATATTTAAAGACTCAATGCAATAAACAAACCCAATTACTTCAAATTAGCTAAAAATACAACAATTTTTTCCAACTAGACGCCATAAATTTTCTTCGGTTTTACTTCGCCATCTTCTTATGTCTAAGTGATTTTGAAGGTATAAATTCATTCCTAATATGTCTATTAGAAAAAAGATCTTAATTTAATAAAAATCAACTGTAACCTTCGGTCGAGGTTCTATGTCTAGACTACCCGAACGAAATCTTTATGTCTAAAGTATTTCTCCCCAAAGTTAGATCATTAACGTTGTGAAAATGTATCAATCCTTTCAGTATTGATGCTAGGTTAAAACATTAATTGGCCAAATCACCAAAATGCAGAGAGTCTTTCGAAGGCAGATCCATTTAATTTATGARAACAACTTTAAGTGACAGAAGAGGAGAAAAACACCTTTTGCCTTGTTGAATTTTAATAAGTTTTAGCTAACTATCCATAACCGGGCTTGGGAAAATAAATTTAGTTCGTGACAATAAAGGAAAAACAGATTAATGTTGATGGAAGTAGACGATATGATTAAAAAATGAGTAGAATTGAAACAAGCTGAAATGGTGGAGTTGTAACCCGAATGACCCTAACCCATTCTCTTTCAAGATTGGGGAGCAATACTCGGTCGATTCCTCATGGTTGAGTGATTACAACTTCGTAATTCGAGACAGAGAAATAATTGAATATCAAAGAACTTGCTGGAATTTTAATTAAATACGATCAAACTTACAATTCAAGAATAATAAGCTGGAAATAATGGGTGAACTTGAAATAAGCAATGTTTAAAACAATAACAACTCAATGTAAATAAGCTGAGAGTAAAGTATCTAAAGCTGAAAATGATCACTTTTGATGATAATTGAAGTGAGGGAGTTGCTGAATTTATAGGAACTTCAAGGCGGTTAGAAGGTTGAGAGTTTCGTTGAGAGCCATTCATTTCAAATACCTTTTAGTTAGTTTGTTGTTGAATTGACAATCTTCAATGCATGGAAGACACGTGGAAGGGCTTGGGGAAGCTTCAAATCACACAAAAACGTGCGTTTTACATTAAGGGCATTCTTGGGATTGGGGAAGGCACCAGAAGCCTAGCTCGATATTTTTCTGCACAAAATTGTAATTTMCATTARAAATCAACTTTAAATGATGTAAAAAAGTCCTATATGCATGTATAACCTAAGATAACTTCAAATGAAAGGTTTTGGACACTAAATCAAGCTTAAAACACGGTTTCTGAGTTTAAAACGTTAGAAAACAGAACCAATTTAGCTTTTTTTTACCCTTATAAACAAGGGAAATCATAGAACAAGATCTAAAGCAAAACCTAGTCTCTAATACAAACTCGTGGTTTGTAAACATAAAACAAATATTTATTCAATAAAGTTATTATTGATGTTTCTCTTATAATTGCATTAACCCAAATCCAACAAACTAACATTCGAGGTTATGTCATGTAACTGGAGTAGTATATAAAAGATATACAACATATATTTAATATACAACATATATATTTGATATATAGTGTTCATATATACAGTATATATTCGATATACAAGTAGATGTAGTAACCTAAAGGGTCTATAGTATATGGATAAGGTTGCGTACCTTATCCTGGTAACTCTATGGATACGGCCTACTTTGTAATAATTACAAATGACTTGATCCAAGTTGTTTGTGTAGAGACATGGGAGTGTGGGTATCCTATACAAGGAATTTGTATAAGATCAGATAGCGAAATAATTAATCTTTAGTTGTAACACCGTTAACTAATAGATTAATAT